AAGCTCTTCGAGCTCATAAATACAATTTATGTACTTTTTTGAGCTCTCCGAGCTCAAAAAAATAGCTTTTGTATGCTTTTCAGCTCTTTGAGCTCTAAAATTTAATAGAAGTTTGATAAAACACGATTTTTTTAATTTTCATATCGCAATAACTTTTGAATGAATGAACCGATTTTCACGCGGTTGAGGGCATTCGACGTGGTTTTTTGATATTAAGAGCTGATTAGTTTTTGAAATTGATCGGTAAAGCCGTTTAAAAGTTATTCCAAAAAAAGCCACTTTTGAAAAAATTTTTTTTTTGTAGTTTTTTTGCGATTTCTCAAAATCTACCGGTCCGAATCGTTCCAAAGTATATACAAAATCTAAGTTTGGTCAAGCCCTTTCGAATGACACCAACTGCGATGAAATCGGTCAAGCCGTTCAAAAATTGCGAGAGGTCTAAGGTTTTTACACACACAAACACACACACACACACACACACACACACACACAGACAGAAGGATAGAGAACAGAACCCAGCGGCTCAATCTGCTACAACCCAAAACCAGCCAAGCAATGATGGCTCCAAGAAACCGAGAAGGAAGAGGACGAGAACTAAAGCTGTGCTTGTCCAACCAGCTGAAGGGCGGACATACGCCGATCTCCTCAGGGAAATCAAGGCTAAGGTAAGCCCTGTCGAGACGGGCGTAGACATAAAGTCTATTAAAAAGACGAAACATGGAGGCGTTCTCCTTGAAATGTCTCGAAAGACCGAGGACAGTAAGGCTTTCACCGATGCAGTAAAGTCAGCCACTGCAAACATCGGCACGGTCAAGACGCTAACACCAACAGCAACGATCGAGATCCTCGACCAGGATGAAATCTCTACCGAGAGCGAAGTCCCTGAAGCACTCAAACGTGAATTCACTGACAGCATGGAGGTCAAACGGGTCAATTTGACAAAGCCCACACCACGAGATGATCGGGCAGCCTTCTGCGAATTAGACGAGCCCAGCGCGATCAAGGCCCTTGACAAGGCTCATATACGGATCGGGTTGGTGAACTGTCGCATACGCCCAGTAGTAAAAGTAACACATTGTTTTAAATGTCTTGGTTATGGACACCACACACGTAAATGTGCGGTACCAGACAGAAGCAAGTGCTGCTACAAATGTGGCGGAGAAAACCACAAGGCCGTAAACTGCACGGAAAAGCT